TATATTTTGTAATTTTAATATTCTCCGTTTATTATAAATTTAACATCACTACACCCTATTAGGGTGAACTGTCATTCCACAATTACTCTTTGCATATTAAACACCCTAAAAAACGTCCCTGGTTTTTGTTGTGGCATAAGACATCCTTAAATTTCAAATTTACACCCATAAAATTTCAAGATTTTAGACTTCTTTGTTAGCCATGTTCGCAAGGGTCGCTGAAATCTTAACAAGTAACATGTAATAATGTACTCGTATACGTTAACCAAAATCAAATCGAATGTTAACCAAGTAATTGGACTGAGAATAAAAATGATGGAGAATAGAGTATATGTTGATCAAAATTAATGCGAAAATTATGTCGAAACGAATAGTAAATACGAAGTATGTGTGAATAATTAGGGGTGTGCATGTGCATCGGTTTAAAACCGGATCGAACCGGACCCGGATTTGCAAGAAAATAGAAACCGAAAACCGGACAGGATATATTCCGGTTTTGAACAGGAACCGAACCGGTTTAACCAGTTCAAAACCGGAACCGGACCGGAATATCGGTTTCTAAATTATTAATTTAATAACTAGCAAATACAACTTATGTGTTTAATAAAAATAAGGGTATTTGTACGTGACTAGTAATATTACTATTACTATTATTATTTATTTAATTACTTTTATTAGTATTAGATAGCAAAGATTGAAGCAATTTGAGTGTAGAATAGTAGATACTGCGTATTAGTTAATACTATTATCAAGAAAATAAGAATAAATAGATGAATAAAACATTAGGACAATATACACTACATATTAAAACAATTTCTATTTTTGTTTTTATTACTATTATTATTTTTGTTATTCTAGAACTATTTTAGAGTAATACTATTACTTAATATATTAAAAATATTACGAAACTGGTTTAATCCGGTTCAAACCGGAACAATCAGGTTTTTAACTGGAACCGGACCGGAAACCGGATTTATAAAATTCGAAAACCGAAAACCGGACCAGATATCATCCGGTTTGGTTTGGTTCCGGTTTCTTTGGTCCGGTCCGGTCCGGTTTTCTAGTTTGAACCGATTTATGAACACCACCTATATGTGATATCAAGTGAAACCAAATGTGCAATTAGTACAAAACAACGACTCACTAGTAGATCAAACACAAACCACATAAATTAGCCCCTACTATTATGAAAATGTCAATTGAAGTCCATCAACTCAAATATCATCCAATTAAGCATGTGAATTGTGAACTTGCAAAAGGTAGATTCTATGGTACCCATAAGGTACCATACCTTGTCCACATGGACCAATCAAAATGATGCAGTTGAATTATTAAAATCTAAATTAAAAAAGATATAATGATTTGGACTAATCAAATGCATGGTAGGTACGGTACCCCATTTTTTAAATCGGTACTGGAGTTGTCACCCTTGTAAAAAATGATCAAATCTCCTTTTTACTAGGTAATGAACCTGTCATTGACACGTGGCGACACGTGGCATTTTTTTCTTTTCTTTTTCTTTGTTTTGCTTTCTAGCTTCTCTCCTTCCTCCTTCCTCAAACCTCTCTTTTCCGTTGACTCTTTCTTCGCCCTATGGGTTAGTACGTTGCTGCCTCCCCATTTCCTATTTGGCTTAATTACGCCCCAAAGCTACCCCTGTTTCCCACTTTTCTTTTCTTTTTGAATTTTGATATACCATTCAATCCATGGATAAACAAGAAAAATAAGAACAATAAACAAAATAATAAACTGATGGAGAAGATCGACGCTTCATGAGACGGAAAGTTGGTAAGAGAGGATGATCTGACAACGTTCGGTGAAGTTGACTGGCACTCTCTTTGCCAGAAATTGGCCGGAGAAGACGACCGGCGGTCGACCCAGCTTCTACGGCTTTGCCGGAGGTTGGTTGGGGAAATAAGACCGACTCTCAAATCCGACCGGTGATTGCAAAATAAAGAAGAAAAGAAAGAAAGGTAAAACAGGGAAAGGAAGAAAGAAAAATGCAGGGGAGAGGGGGAGTGCGAGAGAAGAAAAGGGGATGGGGAAGAAGAGAGAAGGATAGAAAATAGAATAAGGAAAGAAAATGAAAAACAAATAGAAAAAAGAAAAGGAGAAAATACAAAAATTGAATGCCACATCATATATCTTTAGCTGGAACCGGAATGTTACCTGTTAGGGGTGGGCGCGGTCCGGAACGGTCCGATAAATTGGTAAAACCCGTAATGTATCTGTGAGTTTTTTAACGGTCCGGTTCCAAGGATGGAACGGTTCGGTACCATTTCGCTTCAAAACGGCACAAAGCGGTACGGTACAATGCCAAACACATGCTATTTTTTTTGAATAAATCTTACAATTAGTATATATAATCACACCAACCAACTCACATGAAATGTTGATATAAAAACAAGAAATTGCATGCGTAATATTAAAACTCACAACTACACAAATATTGCAACACAACTAAGAAAAAGAATAGCAAAACGATTACGCACGAGATAAATATCATCTTTAATTTACTAAGTTCGTGTGAAAATATAAAAGAGAATATAATATACATAGTATTAGAAATCTTCAACGTTCTTCTTCTTCTTCGTTCTATGTTACTCTGTAGTTCTTATTTAATTTATAGTTGAACCTTGAGAGCTAAGATTTAAGCTATATTAATTAAGTTGTAAAATTGCACAAACATGATACAACAAAAAGTCATGTACACAACATTACTAGCAATGAATAGTCATTAATGATTTTTAAAATTCTAATATTCTTTCGATCAACACATACTAAAATATAACATAAAGAAAAAATAACAATATATATAAACACACATTTAGCTATTTTAGGGACACATAAATACATACTTGGGCTATAAAATTGGTGGTCTATAAAAGAGATCTATTAGTATAGAAAATATATAAAAAATTCAAATTAATTATTTTCGAACGGTTCGGTCCGGTATATTTCGGTTCTCAAAATCTAGGACCGGTCCCGTATTCATTTCAAACGGTACGGTTTCGGTACGGGACAAAAATCTATAGAAATATTTAAATACCCAATATTCGGTTCGGTACCATTATGAGACGGTTTGGTATCGATTCGATTCGGGTTTTATGCCCACCCTTATTACGTGCTAAAAAGCCACTTTGATTTTTTTTACTGGTATATGGGTCTAATTATTGGGTGATATTTGGGTTGATGTCCTTAATTGACATTTTTCCCCTCAAGTAATAAAAGCTTATACGGTATACCTTGTGAATTGTGAGATGGTAAAATTGGGTTAATTGGTAGCGCAAACAATTTTTTTGCTCATACAAAAGCAGTAAATTAATTATTAGAGACTTCACTTTCTACATCTTAAAACTACTTCTGCTCCTTCAGAGAGCAGAAACAGATACTCCGTATTAAAGTGTTTGGATGGAATTGCAAAAGTACATCTGAGAGTTCGGAAATGCTCCTTGAAACACTTTTTCTTTAAACCGAGGGACACCAGCTTCCGAGTACTTATAGAGCCCGTTTGGAGACTCCCTTTTTCGGCTTATCAGGCTTATCAGCCAGCTTTTTCACCAAACACGTAATTTTTACTTTCGCGTGCTGAATTGGGTAATAAGCAGAAAAAATAAGGTTGTAGTTACTTTTCTGGCTGTATTGGCTGAAGTTACTGTAGATGACCATTTTAGCTATTTTTACATGTAATTTTTTCTTTATTTTATTAATAAAATATATTTTTAAAATATTTTTTTCTAGAATCAGCAGAATCAGCCAAAACAGCCACTTCAGCCAGAACTTCATAAATTTCAGCAGAAACAGCCAAAACAGCCGATTTTTGTGCTACCAAACGGGCTCATAAATATCCACCCCGTTGTACTCAAAATTCGGAGTATCTGTAGGTTCCTATTCTACAGTAGTCAGTAGAATAATGCTTTTATACTACTCCCTCCGTCCCTTAAAGGTTTGCCATGTTTGACCGGCACGTAGAATAATAAAGTAAAAACTGTGTGGTAGAGATTTGTGAAGAGGAGAGAGAAATAACATGAGCCACAAATTGATTGATTAAAATGGAAAGTGGCAAAGTTTTTGGGACAACCAAAAAAGGAAAGTTGGCAAAGTTATAAGGGACGGAGGGAGTAATATTCTAGCACATAACAATAGGCAAGTAAGGAGTATTTAACTAAGCCTACACCTCTAACTTTATAGAGTTTTTCTACACCTCTAACTTTCTAAGACCTGCTACTCCTAGCTAGGGAATATACTCGATATTTGATTCAAATACTATACTAAGTACTCCGTATGTTTTAGTATGTACATACTTAATCACGCCTGTACGCCTGGACGGTCATGAATCTCATTTGGGATATAATAATATCCCAACTTAATCATAACCTAGTATAACCTAGTATATATTTAGTTTATAACGGTGCTCATTATTTAAAAAAAAGGATGACACCATCCCTGAGGGCCCCCAACACCGACTGGACAGCACGATAAGAGGATATAAATTGAATTATAATCACAACCTAACAATGGAGAGTGGGGCTCCGTCCCCGATACTTGGGGATGCGCTCTATTGAGTAACCTCTCATCGCAGTTGCCAGTTGTCGAACCTGAAATCTAACCCTTGTGGCACTCCCTCGCTATTAGTTGAGCTACGCCCACCGGTGGTGCTCATTATTTAATACTCCATAGTTTATTAAAACAAGTGTTTAACGTTTAATGTCTTTATCAAACTATATATATATTACCAATTACACAGTATTATCATGCAAAAATGTTAATAATATCTTTACCATGTTTCACATACCAAAAAACAATGATATGAATTTTATAGGATTAATTAATATTTAATGTTTAATAAGGCATCATATCAATTCACATCATTTATTTTAATACTTCCACATAAAAACCCCAATCATACTTTTCTAATTAAAATGCGTAATTAGCGAAAAATACGTAGTAATTATTTAGATGTTAAAATGCATATTAAGAGGAAACTTTTTAAACCTCACCTGAAATTACGAGTTGGTGGTCTGATGGCGGCCACCACGTCCGTCTCCGCCGTTAACTATCTTGTGATATCCTTAATATTCATCAGCAGGGAGAATGAAAAAGGACTACCAAAATACGGGCAGCTGCGTGATCTTAATACGGAGTATATAAATGTACTACCTCCGTCCCATATTTATCTTCATAGTTCGCTTTACGATGCTTGACTGACGATAAAGCAACTCGATCCCTGTTCACACTCGGATTATTTTTAGTAAATAAAATTTACATATTCAGAAACTACATTAAAACCGCTACAAAGCCTGATCAAGAAACTTTAAGTTTGATAAAAATTTGATATATAAAGTAAAAGATTAAGAGTAATTTGAGTTGACCATGTGAATAGTAACTATGAAGATAATTTTGGGACGGAGGGAGTACTTAATTTTTTTGTTAGTTTTCTTTCATTTTGTTTTTATGCATGGAGGAGGATAATTGGTAGGTATGATATATCCACGTACGTAGTACTAGTACTCGTATATTATTGCGTAGCTCGGAGACGTGTCATGTACATCCCTCCATTAAAGATGTGGCTGTGAAGATAAATTAATGGAATAATGGTAGCTGAAGTATTATTAAAGTAGTCACAGACTCACAAGTGAGGGTCAGTTCTGTTCCATATTGTACACATAACAGCATGTATGTGCGTGTCTTCCTCTAGTTCACTTGAAAAGATATGCCACTATATGAATAGAAACAAGGCTTTTTAAATAAAAAATCAATTAATACGGCAATTCTCACTTTTTGACTTTTTCATACCACAAAATCAATTATTTAGGATGTGTTTACTTGGACGTTATACGTTCCGGATCAGATCAAATCAGAACAGATTAGATCAGACCAGACCAGACTTGGATAGTTATAAAAATACAAAGAGACCAGACATTGCTAGACCAGACCAGACCGGATCAGACCAGACCAGACCCGACCAACAAATTACAGTCCAAGTTAAAACATCCTTAGATCCCGTTTGGCAAATTGAATTCGGCTGAATCGGTTGATTCTGCTGAATTTATGAAGTTCTGGCTGAAGTGACTGTAATAGCTAATTCTGCTGATTTATGAAAAAATTATATTTAAAATAAATTTTATTAATAAAATATAGAAAAAATTAAATGAAAAATAGCTAAAATGGTCATCTACAGTAAGATCAGCCAATATAGCCAGAAAAGTAACTTCAACCTCACTTTTTCTTGTTATTACACAATTCATCGCGCAAAATTAAAAATTACGTATTTGGTTGAAAAGTTGGCCGATAAGCCAAAAAACAAATCGAGTCATCAAACATGCTCTTAACGTGTCAATATAGATTGATAGTAAAGATTATATTTTATGTATTCTAAAAGTATACTTCGTATCCGCTTAAATTTTTGTCATATCAGATAAACTAAATTAAAGCGAAGATTTTAAAATACACGTAACACTCTTTATTGAGCACTTAGAGCGTACTATTGAGTATTGACAATTTGACATGGCTCCCACATAAAATTATTTAATGATTCGGCTCCCACTTAAAAAATAATACAATGAGTATTGAAAATAGAGTTGGCATGCCATACGGCGTGGTTGTACCCTAATAAAAAATAAGAGCTTTCATTCATTATTCTCTATCGATCAAAATAAAATGAAAAAAATAACTTTTGGTATTACTAAAATTAAATTATTTTCCAATTATAAGCCTAATAAGATTTTTTCCAAAATTATTTTTAAACTAGTTAGATTTAATTAATATATTACTAAATAAATAATTAAATAATTTATATGGACTAATTAAAAATAACTTTTTCCAATTTAGAATGTTGTTACTACCGTCCGGAAATAATTGTCTTATTTTCTTTTTTGTGATGTCACAAAATAATTGTATAGTTTCCTCTTTGGTAACAATGTGTGGCTCATATCAATTCACATTTTTTATTCAAATCTCAATCACAACTTTTGCATTTCCAATCACTTTCTAAAAACTTGTGCTAAAACAAGCAAGATAATTATTTCAAGGCGGAGGAAGTATAAAACTCTAACTTTCTACTCCTTTTCTCAAACTCTAGTCCCCCGCCGCCCCACCCGCACATTTGTACGTCGCATGGCTGCCTGCTGCCGCGCCTTTAGCTGCACGGCCGCCTACCACCATCGTCTCTGCCAAGGTCCGGCTCAGAACCGGATCGGGGCTGGACTGGATTGGTACCAGGAACCGGCCCAGGCCTGGATTTAACTGGGACAGACCCGGACTTCTCCTACCACTGACCGAGACCGGTGATCTGGATTTAACTAGGACAGACCTGGGCTTCTCCTACCCCTGACCGAGACCGGTGACCTGAATTTAACCGAGACATACCCGGGCTTCTCCTAACAATGACTAAGACCGGAACCGAGTCCATCCCTACCTGTCGATGTCGACATTCTCAATATTTCATCACCGAATATACAAAATAATGAAGGTTTTTCATCTTCATTATACTTCAATCACTAAAAAAAATTAGAGGATTGACATGGAGTTTGACACATATTTACCGATTTTTCATGCCAAATAGCTTCTGCCAAAGTGTTTTCAAGACTTCTTGTTGTACACACTTTTATACCCACTTGCTTATACCCACCATGTTTGTGAAGGGTATTTTGTGTCTGTGAATCCAATTCGCAGACAAAATAATTTACACAAACATATTTTGTCTGTGACTGAGATTCACAGATAAAAAAAAACTTTGCACAATCATGGTGGGTATAAAAGTGGATATAAGGGTGGGTACAAACAGTTTTTTGAAGTGTTTTTTTTTGCATGAATTTGGCATATCCCTGCCAAAATACCTGCCAATCCCATGTTTTTTTGTAGTGAAAGTGAATTGATTATGTTGATCTACTATTAATTTTGGTTTATAATTTTTGTTACATACAAGAATATTAGACTAAAAAAACTTCTTTCTAATAATATTTTCCGTAAGGTGTAACATTAAGATTATTTGTTCTTGTAATTGTTTTAATTCAATTTAGAACTACACTTTTAGTTTAATAATTGCTTTTAAAACATATTTTACACTAAATAGTGGTAGGTCCCAATACACAAAACTCAATGAAAAGAATATGAAAGTTTGTTTAGATGTTTTTTATTTGACTAAAATTTTCAAAGAATGATCTGGTCTGATATTGAATGTGTAAGTTTAATTTGTTTTAGTCTGCTATGATATTATGTATATGCGTCTATTTTACTAATATGAGAAAAAGGGCAAATAAACTCACGTACTAACAAAAAAGATTAAATAAGCCCTTGTATTGGAGGCTCTGTTCGGATGTCGCCATTTGGGGCGGTTTCCGGTGGAATTTTTTGATGCAATTTTTTGAGCATCTTATTCATTAAGTCTAGTTTACTCATACCAAATTTCAGCTAAAACTTCAATCGGGAAGACATTCAAATGAATTCTTGAAGATAACTGCGCAGTTAATAGCAAAGTTATCTTCAAGAATTCATTTCAATGCCTTCCCGTTTGAATTGTTAGCTGAAATTTGATATGAGTAAACTAGACTTAATGAATAAGATGTTCAAAAAAATTCATCAAAAACTTCCACCGGGAACCAACCCAAATGGCGACGGCCGGACAGAGCATCCAAAATTAGGGCTTATTTGACCTTTTGTGGTTAGTACGTCGGCTTATCTGCCCCTTTTCTCATTTAACTACTATCTAAATCTAATTCTGTGTGAGACTGAAATTAGTCTAAATAAATACATTCTTACTTTCATTTAAGAATTCAAGAGTGTAACTACTTTAATTTTTCTTTCATACGAAGTATGTTTTCTTTGAGAAAACTCCTAAATTAGGCTAAGAGTTTCATTCGCTCGTTCTATGATGCTCATGAGACTTTGTACAATGCATCGTATTCTTTCGTTCCCATTAATGTTAAAAACTAACGTGTTAGTTTTCAAAACTCAACTTTCATGGAAAATAGCAAGTGGGTTTAGTCAATTACTCCAAACAAACGTGGATGTAAGTTGTTGAGGTAGAAATTATCATTCACAATTTGAAAATAAAAAGTTGATTACAAATAAAAAGTTGTAGCCACAAGCAAGTCCCACATGGAAGGACTCGTGGGAGACGAAGCATGGTGGTGGCGAGTTAAAGCTTGTTGACTTGCGTTTAATTTCTTTTTCAAAATTTCTCTGTTATTCTTTCTGGGGGCGGTTGAAGCTTGTTCCCGCGCGACTATATGTTGCCGACTTGCTTCTTTCTGGCCTTCCTTGTTGGATGAAGCTGGGAAGAGCGGCTTGAACACGTACAATAGCAAGAATATTCATCCCGTCACTTGGTCTGCATCGATGATGTTGACAGGAATGCGGTGGTAGTAGCTCGACGGAATGCGGTGGTGTCACCGGCGGTAGCAACTCAGCAGCGATATATTGTGAAGCCGCTAGTCAGTCATTGTTGTTGTCTCCGACTTCTTCATTCTTCCGTAGTATTTGAAGCGTAGTGTTTCATTTTCTTTTAAACTCATTTAATGGCAGGTGCGTTTTTTTAGCGTAGCCTTTCATTTTCTTTTAATTTAGTGCCAGCTGGACTAATGTGCACTATAAGGAGCACACAACGGGCTCATTAAAATTTCTGTTGAGAGGCGAAGATGAGAAGAGCTGGAATGAGGGGAGAGTCAGGGGTTTGTTCACATCAGAGGAGAGCAAGAGAACATTGAACATACCTATTAGTATGTTTGATAAGGAGGATAGTTTTTGGTGGAATGGGGAGAAGGATGGTCGGGGTTCCGTCAAAAGTTGTTGTAAATTGTTGATGGGCCCCCGAAATCAGACAATGTGGGACAGATGGAGCAATATGTGGAAACTAAATATACCGCCGAAAATAAAGTACTATTTCTGGAAAGTAATGGAAGGGTGTTCTCCCACGGCAACAAAGCTACGAAGCAGGGAAGTGGTGATCCAGGCAGAGTACAAGTTGTGTAATACGGGCGAGGAAACAACATATCATGTTCTTCACCTCTGCTCAGAATTAAGCGCAAAAGGTATGGGACTCGGTTGGTGTTGATAATAGCAGCCAAACTCTGGGTTTGGAGATCTGGATTGAGAAATACTTGGAAGGAAAAGATGATGATAGTTGTAGTAAGTTTTTTATGATACTGTGGAGTCTGTGGAAGCGGCAGAATGATCTAGTTTGAAAGATATTAAGCAGAGGGAGAGAGGTGTTCGAAGATGTGCGGAAGCTACATTACAAGGCTGGAGGGAGGCCCCAATTAAGGGAGGAGAGCTAAAACAGCAGGTACCAAAGGTAGAGGAAAAATGGAGGAGACCAAAGCCGGGTTGGATTAAATGTGGATGCAGCAGTTAATGAGGGTGGGGAGAAGCGGGCGTGGGGAAGGATAGTGAGGAACTCCCAAGGAGAAGTAGTGGGGGCAGACTCATTGGCAGTTGATGTGTGTTTT